TTATACATAATGTTTCTATTCTATGTACTTACTTCTTATGTAAATACATGAGCACATAATGTATATAGATAGATATATGTTGTACATAAAGCACATAAATATACTGGTAGACTCCGCCTTGTTCGAGAGCTTTTGCCCTATCACGATGTAGCTCCCCATCCCCACTGTGGCTCGTAAGTGCGCTAGTGGAAGGAAAAATCGTTTTTTAACAAAAAGAAAACCACAACTGTGCTACTGGCTGCCTCCTCCACTACAGAAAACTGGAATACCTGCGCAGAATGTGTTACGCCAAGACCGCCTCGAACACTTTATATGCGCATTACATATCTTACATGTTCATTTCTATAAATGTATATATGCACATACACAATTATATTTATTTGTTACGTATATTTTGTTTAAAAAATAACCTAATGTTTTCGAAAAAAAAATATTTTCTTCGTCTAATCAATAATTCGTAAATACCATGACTTCGGTTTATGTAGGTAATAACAATTGCTGTGCTATCATTTTCAATATATATTCAAGAGAAACCTAATAAAAAAAATCTACGAATAAAAATAAACATTAAAAATTTTAAATTAAGCCACGATTTTGTCGCTATTCATTTTATTTACATTCGTTTTTTATCCAAAACAGTCTTAAAAACATCAAATTATCTTTTTAGAAGTCCTCATGAAAATATTGAAAATTTTCACTGCTTCAAATATATTATTACCTTTTCATAAAATATATGTTTACTCATAATTTTTCTGGGTTAAATTTTTTATTGTATACTTATCTTTAAGTCAGATTTCAAATCAGATTATTCACTATAATTCAAAATGAACTTCAACATTTACTCGTATTTCTCAACTCCAAAAATGTATTGAAATATAGTTATAGCGTTCTCAGTAATTTCATTCGTAAATAGCAAACTGATATTATTTAAAGACATTTTGATGTTTTTTAAGCGTATGATACGGTGTGAAACAAATAGTAGCGCAAAAAAATTCTAATCAATACTGCTTTTTGTATTCAATTTTAATATAGTATTTATAAAGGCAGTTAATATTATGTATAGAAGGGACTTGTTATGATAGTTTTTTTTAAATAAATATATGTTGAGATCTAGTAATTAAAAAAATATGTTTTTTAAATATCCCAAGTACTTACCACATCTAAGTAAAGTTTTCAACTAATCAATATAATCTTTGATTATTGTCTTTATTTTACTAGTGAAAGTTCGTCATAGCAATGCTTATTTTCAGCAATAATAAACAATAGAGGATAAATGTTATTATTCTGAAAAATATTTAATTTAAGAATTAAAGTTTTAACTTATGTTAATAAAATAAAATTATAATGGGAAGAAGGAAGATTTCACAAGCCTCAAAAGGTATTACTTAGTATTTCCAGTTTTTGTTCACAAATATTTTATATCGGTTGAAAAATTTATGACAGTCTCAGCTGGCATACACCTATACACCCAGTTTATTATGATAAAAAATTATGATTATGTATGGGAGGGCTTGTTGAAACAGTTTTTTTTTAAATTAATATATCTTGAGATCTAGTGATTATACGAAATAAAGATGTATGGTAACTGTAACTGTAACTATTTTTTCAACGAATCAAGTAAAAATAATTTCACAACTATTATTCATTATTTCCAAATTAATCAATTTGTAGAAAAAGTACGGTGTTACAACTTACCTTGTTTTTGGGGCTTATTGTAACATATACCGGAGCAAGAAGTATCGACTAAAAACGACAATAATGCCTGTGATAATTTATTCTTAACTCATTTTTAAGAAAATTTACTTGTTTCAAAGTAATTCTGTTCATACTGCAACGCAAACTATAATTAATTCAAATAAAATGTATAACGTCTTCTGTAATATAAATATTTATCATAAGTCAACGTACTCTACAATTATTAACAATTATTATTATAATTCAAATAAAAGAGATACTTCTTCCTGCAACACAATTTATTTGTGCTCACATTTTACAAACTATATATTCCATTCAATCTTCTTTACTGGAATCTGTATATAACTTTTGTATGTCATGGTGTGATTTTTTCACCTGAATCATGATAACTGTTCATACAATTTAACAATCACAAAAATTGTTACACATTATTAAAAATTGATAAATTTGACATGAAATAAAATATATAAAATTTAAAGTTAACCCATAATAGTAATACATACCGGAATTTAATGATAAACAAATTTTATATTATATGTCAAAATTGACGGACCTGCACAGTTCTGTTTATTGCATCGACCTGCGGACAATCACAATATTATGCAGGGCAGTTTACATGTTCAATCGAAACAAGAAAATTAATATTGCGTAAGATCCTATTGAAAACGCCTGATACTAGTTACTCATGTTACAGATAGCCCCTAGCTACCATAACATTTTTTATTATTAAAAAAATACTTATACAAAAGCGTTGTCAGTAAAATGTTTTCATAAGTTAAAAGTCAAGTTTGGTATATTTATTTAATTGGTGCCAATATAATTAAAACATTTATTAAAATAAAATAAAAGCCAAAATGATAAATTATCGAAACTCGTATAAATCTAGACAAATATTTGAAATTATGTGTCATCTATTTCGTATCGTATTTAGTTTTTGTAATTGATGAATTATAATACATATTTTTTTGTAAATATTATATTGATCAACAAATTTTATTATACATTTTCTCTAATCAAAACTCCCAAAAGTAGAAATGTCCAATAGTGAACAAAATTTCATCAAAAATGGATGGAAAAGAATGTACCTACTATGGTAAAATACAAGAAAAGTTGCTTATAAGTTGAATATAAAAGTATTTCTAAGTTGTATAGGAAAATAAAACATAAATAAAATGTTCTAATCAATATGTTCGAACTTCCATTGTTCGTAATGCATTTTGCTAAGCTTCGAGTGTCACAGAAACGAATGCCTTCGACATCGAATGCTCTTCTCTCGTGTGTTCATTTCCTGATATTAAATATTCAGACTGTCGGTCTGCTTTGCCGTTTAATATGAAAACTAACTCTACTTGGAAAACTTGTTCTGTCTCCGTAGTCATTGGTCCAAAGTATTTTTTTTTCCAAATCCCTAATTGGATTACGTTACGTGACGTCATTACTCGGGCCTTATAAGAGGTATTCGCTGAAGAACTTCGTTTATAAAGTAATGCGCGCATGTACTATGATATATAAAAGTACTTATGTAATCCCTTGACGTGACGCAAGTAAAGTTTGAAGAAAAACGGTTAATATGCGGATAAATAAACTTTGATTCGGTTAGCCATAATGGCTAAAGCAGACGAAGACGCAGACAAACTCTATGCATTTTGTGAAGTTTTTATTTAATTTTTTTATTCATTATTTCGTTTTGTCCAGATTTTTGTTTAGGTTAAAAAACATATTTTTTAAATATCCCACGTACTAACCATATCTAAGTGAAGTTTTCAACCATTCAATATAATTATTTCCTTATCAACGATAATTGTATTTATTTTACTAGTGAAAGTTCGTCATGGCAACGCTAATTTTCAGCAATAATAAACAATAGATACTACAGAGGATAAATGTTATTATTCTAAACAAAATTTAATACAAGGATTAAAGTTTTAACTTATGTTAATAAAATAGAATTATAATGGGAAGAAAGAAGACTTCGCGAACTTTAAAAGGTAATACTTATTGTTAGTATTTTCAGTTTTTGTTCACAAATCTTTTATATTGGTTAAAAAATTTATGACGGTTTCAGCTGGCATACACTTAAACCCAGTTTATTGTGATAAAAAAGTTTAGCAATATAATATCGACATTTTACTTCATATATTGAACATATAGCCGTATAGGATGTTATTTTAATGTTTCTAAATTTTTATTAATTATCAGTGCTCGCTATTTTTTGGACTTATTGGAATTTAAAAAAATTATCATTTAATGAAATATTTAATATTGTTTATAACTAAACACTTATTTATTCTCAAGGATTTTTAAGTTGTTACTGCGCCTAAATATGTACTAAATTTAATTAATTCAATAGTATGGTGCTCATTAAATTTAATAATATAATTGCTTTACTCTTTTAACTAATTTAACTATGTTGATATTATTACTATATTGATTTTAATAACGAATATTTCTATTTCATAAATTCGTCGCATCAATCGTTTAGATTTTGAAAAAAAAAATGATAGCTAATTAAAGATTAATTAAACACATACGCAATCATTTTTCAAAAGTATCATTTGAATAATTTTTAACTTCAACTGAGAATATAAAAAATATGCAATTATTTATTAGAGTATTATAGAGATAATATACAATTATTTTATAAAGTATTATAGAGCTAGTACTGAAATTCAGTTTTGATGTTAATTTATTTATAAATTTTACGTTTTAATAATATTAAAACGCAAAAACAAAATCTCAATAATGTAAGACATTACCATCAGTGTGTATAATCATATAGTTAAACAAATGTCAATGTGGTTAAATGTTCAAATAGGTGAAAACGTTCAGGCATTAACCTTTGTATGCGGAGTTAATCTTGTTTATGATTATATGGCGACATCGTTATGATACTCCCAAAAGGTCCTGAATCTAAAATTATTAGGTTAGGTTAGGGTTTTATACGCGCTGTGATAGCATAAGGACGTCGTGTTTCTCACTATTTCAAATAGTGAGCAATATTATGAAGGATTTACAAAACAGTGTTCCTGCACGACCTCTCTTTTTTATGATTCCTATCAATTTAATAATCATAAAATATATGTAGAAAAACTAATGATGTAAATTAAATATGATCGTGTTTCTTATTATTCTAATTGAAATCAGTTCTTCACATAAAAATTCTATTCTTAATGCTTAAGTGATCAAATAGTAATATGATTAAAATTTATAAGATTGATGAATTTCAAGAATCAATTATAATATTTGTTTTCAATTTACACATTATTGTATGCAAATTTAAATTAAACACGCTTCAATTTTCACAGAAGGCAATAAATGTCCTACACCCGGATGCAATGGACAAGGACATGTCACCGGACTATATTCGCATCATAGAAGGTAAGACTTTTATGATATTCGTAAATTTATTTCTTTGAACGACGTAAAATATTATTTTTTGCATAGTTTTTAAGTTATAATAGAATATAATAACATAAATTTAAAATTGCATTTACTAACACCATGTGTATTGAAATAGTTTGTCAGGATGCCCAAGAAAAGATAAAGTAACACCAGAAAGTGAGTAATCAAAAATTACATATCAACGTTTAGAAATTTGTGATTTCTTTTATTTGGAATTCCATATAAAAGCATTTTAATTTTATAATTGATATATTTATTTATTTTAAAGCGTAAATGAAATAATGTTATTGCTAGTCAATTAATCATTTTAATCATTGGTAATTTTTAATACATATATGTTTATATGTAACAGTAATATAACTGAAGATACTTTATTTCTTAAAATATATTGAGTCATTGCACATGAGAATATATACCTGAAATTTAGTTTAAATAGCCATATTTTTTATATAAGCATCAGAATGCCTTATTTCTTTGCTTCATTATTATTGATTTAAGTTTACTTTGATATTTTAAGTTTTGTTTTAGTTTGTGCGGGGTAGAGAGCTTTTTCTGATACATTTTTATTTAATTATTATTTCATAATTATTTTGCAAAGTAGTTACAAGTAGCTTTTACGTTTTATTTTCTAGCGTTATTTAATTTTATTAAAAAGTAAACGAACAAATTCAGAAACAACTTCCTTCAAACGCTGCAAAGGAATCATTGAACATCGAATTACATCACTGTGTATATGAAATGAATAATTTGTTTCAAAGTAGTTCAGCTCAACAGTCAAGGAGTTTTTGACTTGTTGGACGAACATGTATATTGAATATAGTTAAATGGCATATCTTATAATAAAGAGGTATATGAATAATAATATTCAAATATATTATATTCTTCTAATTTATTAGTCAAGTATGAGAAATATAAATATTCACAAAATTGTAATGTAAATTAACTCTCTACCCGCTGTACACAAATTTATAATTTTATGTATTTTTGGTTGACAGCAATTGGCTTTTACATATAGTTTAAAATTATAGCGGGTAATGATTCTAACAATAGCTAATACTTTACTTTTCAATTAAATATAAAATGTGTTATAATTATATTTAACTAAAATTCGATTTTCTCTCTGATTCTCTTTGCAAATCGCATCGCTGCTTTCAAACGCTGCGGGTTTTGTATTTACGCCGAATTTAAACAAAACCGGAAAATGAAAATGATAATAAACGGAAACAAATTACAACAAACGAAATAAATTATCGCGTTCAGTACTGGCAATGCACGAGACCATCTTGAAATGTCCAACGCCAGGGTGTAATGGTAGGGGTCACGTGAGCTCGAACAGGAACACGCACCGTAGCCTGAGCGGCTGTCCGACGGCAGCGGCGAGCAAAGCCGCAGCCCGAGAACTACGTTACCACGCCGGTGCGCAACTGCGCAGACGGACTGTGCACTCAGGTCAGCATGGAAAAACTATTGTTTGCGAAATGAAGGAGGTTGTTTTTTTGAATTTTTAATATCGAATTTATGATATTATGTTTGATGAATATTTCTATATCGAGTATCAAATCATAATTTCAACGAAAATTTAACAATATTATTTGTAGTTTGCTGACTATTTTATTTAGTTTAGTAAATCTACTCTTATATCACGTATTAATTTATTATTTCCAATAATAAAATGGATTGCATATATGAGAATAACAATGATTGATGTTTGAATGCTATTTTTCTGGGCGGAGAAAAGCATGTAGCGCAACTTTGAAATTATAACAATGCAAATTAAATTTTGTAATGTAACTTTTTTACATTTTTATAATTTGTCATTTTTCCTTAAATTTATGAACGAACAATATTTAACAATTAAATTTTTTACAAAATAGCAATAATACCAGACACGAATGTACCAAGTTACCAGTCATCTAGTAACGATTTTACTAGTCCAGTCCGACAGTCATCCAGCCGCGATCCATTATACATAGACGTGAAACCCGGCATCGGCACGGGATTTCAAAGTGGTGTCAGTAGCTACCCTCCGCAAGCATCACAACAGGCTCATCCACCCCAACCGACGCCGATACAGCAAAATGCCCAACCTCCAGTAACTGCCGCCCAGTACTATACAACTAGTGATAAAACGAATGAATCCATGAAGCAACCGCGAACGCCTGAACAGAGACCTAGTCCACCAACTATAAATAATAATAATAATAGTACCAACACTAATAATAATAATCTGCCGGGGCAGAGTAAAGTGAAAACGGAGTCAGGATTATCGAATGGACCTCATTTGCTTGTGCCCAAAACAGAGGCGGGTTGCAGAGCTACTACACCTACGGGACCTCCACAAGTGCGTCAGGGCTTCGAGTCGTATTTAAGTCAAGATTCAAATTCGTCATCTGTATCCAGTATGGAAACGATGGGAACAAGGACTCTGCATATGATGTCACATCCGCATCACCCGTTACCTGTCATGAATACAGGTATGGCCACTTTTAATAGTCAATAATAAAATGAACTTATTTCAATATGATTCAATATTGATTACCGTGCATTACTTTTAATTGCAATATAATTTATAATAGTAAATGGACTAAAATTTATAGAAAAATATTATTTATAAGTGAGTAATTTAAAAATTTATATCTTGCCGTTAATAATGGAATATTTATTAAGAGTATGAAGTCTAGAAATTTCAACGCGCTTATTTTTTCAGGATCTCATCATGGTCTTCAGCCCCCCGCGCCTGTTCCAGTATACTCGAGTTTAGGCGATGATGGAAGATTAGGTGCACAACGATCTCCATATGAACAAGCCATGTCCGCTGAGGATCATATGTATCACCGCGCCGCTGCCTATCACCAAATGGCTTACCCGGGCGACATGGCAGGTCGTACGCCTTACGATACTAGCTCTATATCCGCGATGACAGCGGGTCGAGCGTACGATCCAGGTTAGCATTATACGAATAATAGAATGGCAAATGTCTGTTCATATCAAATTTCAAATAAGTTGTATAAAAAGAGTCAAATTTGACCTATAGCTAACGTACTATTATCACTAATGACTTTTTTTAATGTTGTTATAGGTAGTGTATCGGGATTTGAAAGATACGATCCAGCTATAGCGGCGCAACAACAAGCCATGCAGCAGCAGCAACAGCAGCAGCAGCAACAACAGCAACATCAACAACAAGCGCTCCGAGCTTCTTACATCAGCGGCAGTGTTTATCATCCGAGCGAGCAAAGTGGTCCTGAACAGCGCTATCAACAATCTGGACCCCATCAACTCTCAATGGTGAACGGTGGCATGCTAAAATCCGAGCAGGATCAATCAGACAACGTGCCGGTGTATCCTAGGTAAATAGAATTATTAATATCGAAATAATACAATACGATATGTTAAAACTTTGTTATGTACATTATCAATATGTGATATAATTATCACAAGTATAGTTAGAAAATATTAGTAATTTTTGAATAATCAATGTATAAATAAAATACAATACAATATTTTTTATCAAACTATTTAGTATATTAAGCAATATTACGTTGATTTTAAGTATTGCATACATTCAGGTAATTTTTTAAATGTGCTTTAATTATTCATTTCCAGGCCGATGTATCAATACGACCCATCAGCCGGGCCTATGCCTCCAGGTTTTTCGGCTATCAATCTGTCGGTAAAAGTTGGTGCGCAATTACGACAAAATAGTTCTGAACCTCCATCTCCTCCTGCAACTGGCGGTCCAGTAATGGATTTATCCACATCGAATGCTAGTCCACGTCAACCCACAAGTCCCTCAGTACGAAGTCCAGAAGCAGTCCCTCGCAGCCCACAGACATTAGATCTCAGTGTTGCCAGGTTACCCCACAGGTCAGCAAATTTACCTAAAAATTATCTTATAAAGAATTTATGTCTTAATGGAATACATTGTACGTTCATTGGCTGTGCTTCTTTGAAGATATCAAAGCTAATTGCGACGAAAATCAATGTATGATATTTTAAAACGATTAGTTATTTTGTCTTAGTTGTCATACGATATTTCAAATTCATAGAAGAAAACCTAAATCTTTACGGGAAAAAAGTAATTATTTAAAAATCATTTTAATTTTTTTCTTAATATTGTGTGGTCGGTATTACATGGTCGTTTTGAATTATTTAGTAGATACGCTTAACCATAAACCACAAAACCGAATAAACCACACACAGGTACACCGTTACTAATTATGCATTCATGTGCTGCTACAAATTGCAGTACGTGTGAAGTGGAAAAGGATTAAATACGATGACCCATAGCCAGAAAGTGTACTTCATTATTCTATAGAATAATTTTTCATTCATTTGAGTTATAAATACAAGATTTAATTTTTGTAGTGCAATTTTGAATTTTTAGTGAGTAAAATAGTATTGAATAAAATAGTATTAATGAATAAAATAGGTATTAATGAATTCAAATACGTTCACTATAATTGTTTTTTAGTGATCATAAATAATATAATATATTTAAATTTTTAAAAGTTATTATATACCTTATTGCTTTGCATATATACCTTAATGTCTGTAAGTTATTACAGATCGTTCTTATTACTTCAAATTACATTTTAACTGGTAACGTGTTTTGACTGTGAATGATATAATATTTATTATTTCTTCGAACTAAATTTGCCTGATTTCAGTATTTTCGAAAAAGAAGTATTATAATAAGGTGATATTTTGACCCCTATTTTATAGCTCAATGTTTGTACATTATTATACCATCGTTAGTACTTCAAATTATTTGTTGACTGATTAACAAAATATAATAATTATTTTAATTATTCTAACTAAAACTCACTTTGTCTAAAATAATCACGGAATAACTATTAATTTAATTCATCTTTTGTAATTTATTTTAATTGATATACTTTTTCATTTACTATTTTGTTATTGTTCACATCTTTGCCGGTGTAAAGTTTCAGTTAGAGCTTTTTAACTCCGATGAGATGTAAGATTTTATATCGGTTACATAGAAAAACTGTTGAATCTAACATAAAAATAGCAGTATATATTGTGAAACAATTGAATACCGTATACTTGCAATGTTACTAAACTAAACACTTCTCAAAATTATTTAAAAAAGATTTTTGCTAAAATTTTGATAATGTGGCCATTTATCTTGAATAAAAGTTTATCGATTTAAGGCCATATCTGGTTATACAGCTTTTGTCTTCTACTTTGAAATCAACATTAAACATAAATCATACTTTACACTTTTTTTTAGATAATGGTGGTGAAACTTTTTACCCGCGAACCTTTAAGTCCCGCTCTAACATAAATAATATTTCAAAAACACATTAGATAACTCATTCTTTTCTCACAGCTATAGTTTTTTTAAATTTTGTTAAATATATATTTTATAATTTTTTTGCATAGGTGTAGTTTAGTCATAGATTCTATATTTGTCTAATCAAATGACAAAGACATTAATGGTGATATAAGTAGAATCAGTTGTTATTTCTCTTATGTCCAACCCCAAACATAAACAACACCCAGTCTGTACGTGAAGGGTAGATCCGGTAGTGAGTTAGTAGAGGTGTCAGAGGGTGAAAACTGAGCTCGCGAAAGCGTGTTAAATAAATTCTCCTAAGGAACCGCTAAAGAGTAAATTAAGCCATGGCACTTTGTTAGATTTGTCGAGTTTGTTTTCCATTTTCTATGCCGTTTATTTTACCAGCTATACATTCGGCCCTTTTAAACAAATTACAAACTTTGTTTTACTCAAATTTTTTTACTGCTATATTTACAACTGTCCAGTTAAGGACGTTTAGTTAATTTATGGAATTTACAATTGTCAGCCTTAATAGGGACATTGTATACTATAGTGACATGTTGGAATAACAACTCAATAGTTGTTTTTTCAATCGTTATAAATAATATTAACAATATTTTAATGATAATAATATAAACTTAACTATTTTCTTATAAATAATAGTTAAGTTATTACAATCTTTATCAGGATAATTGATGACGTAAATCGAGTGGCGGTTTTCTATTTAATTTAATACTTTGATCAAACAATGAATATATTGAATTCGTGCAGTCCGTTATAAAAATGTCGACGAATCACAACATTTTTTAACATTTTTTTTTAATTTGTATGTCAATCAATTCAAAATTACTAGAAGCGTCGAGTAAAAAAATTCATAATGCTAGTGTTAAATGATAAATTAAAATCGATCACGCAGGTTTTTTAATATGAACTAATAGATATATAACTAATAGAGTTTTGTGAATATAAAACATAATTTGTTACATAAATTAAATATATCTTAAATATGAAGTTAATGCTCTTATATTGCAATATACTTATATTGCAAGTATACCACAAAACAATAGTAAAGCATAAAAAGTTTGAAACACTATATCATTTTTTGCGCATAGTTTTTTACAGAAACAAGAACTATTATATGTTCTATAAGCTGCACTAAAAACTGTTTATTACTAATAATAAGACGATTTTGTTATTGAGCAATCCAACGATTGTCCTTACTCTTTCTTTTTTTTAATTTTGTTTTTATTTTTTTCAATAGCAATCAGAATACAGTACAATTCTATTAACTATTTGGCTTATATCATTCACTTACACATGTACACACACATCTTCAATCACACATATAAATTATTGCGATAATTACTGCATCCATAGTTGGAGAATCACTCCAATGAGTGATACGTAAATTCTGTTTATTTCTACAACGATCTGGTAGTGCTAAGTTTTTCAATATTATCTTTGGGCAGCTTCTTGAAATTGGTGTCACAAGAGATATTGCAGTAATGCTAGATTAATCTATATTTCCAAGTGAAAACCGTTATCACTACTACTTCAAAGTATTATGAATTTAAATTTGGTTTCAGGGAAATTTTATATTTCATATTATTATCTAAATATATGATAACAAAAATAAACTTTTTTTTTCTTTGTTACAGGCCCATCGGCTTTTCTGTGGCTGTCATGGGTCCGTCTGGTCATTATAGCCGTGAATCTACTCCAGACAGTGGCGGATCTCACTATATGGACGCATACGGTCGGGACACAAGTGGTAAGTCAAACAAATTTTATAATTGCCAAACTGGTAAAATATATAAAATATAAATTGGAAAAATAGTTTACATCTGGTTATACGTACATTTTTTGTATTTGTATTTAGTTTATACTATTTCTATAACATCAAGTGACGGAAACAGCTCTTGATAATGAAATACATTGTAGTATGTCAATTTTCATAAATTGATACCTATTTGTTTGAACTAAAGGTCTTCATGTTCATTACTCAATTTTTCTTTCTTTTGTAAAACATTTTATACAATATAATCACGGTTGCATTACTGTTGATATTATAAGTTGTAATTTAAGTGATTTGCTCAGATTTTTATCAATTACTCAGGGTGATGACGCTTTATTGTTTATTGCCACACCGATTTAGTCTAACAAATAATAGTTATTTATAATATTATGAAGATCATTTGAAAATATTGTTTTCAGAAATTTACATAGCGATAATTGAAAGATAACTGAGATAATAAACATATTTTTATTAGCTGTAATATTTTACAACATTATTCTACTTTTTGTGCATACGGCCATTTATTATAATAATTATATTTTTTATATAAATTTATTATTACTAATATTCAATTTGTTTGATTATTTATAATATTGCGTCTGAATGACATACTAGATACAATTTCTGAATTTATTTCTGAGGCTATATTTTAGGACGGGGCACAAAGCTCCAATTTGACCTTCAGTGATTATACTATCCAAACCAAATGAACAGATAACACATATTAAACAAACAACTATTAAACAATGTTCAGTAAAATTCCCAGTTAACTAGTAATTAAAGAACGCGTTATTTTTCAATTTTAAATGTATTTTACGAAATCATAGCTACATTTTCAACCAAAGTGAAATGCAAATGTCATTGGCACATTTTTTACAAAGATCACATTGTATTTAACCATGATCTGGTTTTCGTCAAAAATATTTATCAGTAGAGTTGGAATAACTGTTAATATAATTTACTCTTGCATATCTCTTCTCTAATCCAAGTCAGTTCAAAACCATGTTTTCTGAACATATCTTGAATTTTAACCATATCTTAAACACTTGTTGAAAAAAAATGTAATCTTAAAAGATTTACGAAGTCTTTTCTATTTTTTTTAATTTCTCTTGTGTGAACTAACGTGAATCTGCCCATCTTTTACATGGCAGCTATCATGGTTGATTTTTAATTTTATTGGGTATAATTCTATTACTGTTTCTTAATTTTTGGTTTGCTTTTGAATTTTTTCTCCGTCCCTCACTATCTTCCATCCTCTTCACATTTGCTTGCACGTGTTGTCGGTTTCGTTCTATTATATATCATATAACACATAAATAACTTTTGTAATCAAAAACTTTACATTTACATAGCTTGCTTAAAAATAGAATACGGAAAATATTCCTTTATAATTTCAGGTTACGCGCCAATGAGTCCCCATCCAGCCTATGCAATGTCTTCCGTACCGCAAGGTGGCGGCGACTATGTAAGCAACGCTTACGCACCTTATCCGGCTCCTCCTGGATATCAATGCGGTCAATATCCGTCCTCTGCTGCAGCTGGTTATCCAGCACCAGTTTCGCAAGGTGGTTACTCACCAGGTCCTGGCGCTTGCTACGGAATGCCACCTCCACCGCAACACGTCATGTCTCAAATGGAGCATGTAGTCAAATCACCAAATAATAAAGACAGGTAGGAACAAATCATATTTATTTGTATATCGAAATATATATTTTATTATACTTAAATATTTGAAGACATGAAGATTTACGATAATTAAAACAAGTATCAAAAATCAATCTAATTCTGTCGTGTCTTTAGTTTTACTTATGACTTTCACAAACGTGATTGTACTCTATAGTGTCTTCTTATTCGTAATTTATATTTAAGATAAAAATATTTATTATTAAGCATTGTTTATGATTTTGCCTATTTTAATTTCAAATGTTATATTTATATGCCGGCTCTAATTAGAATGCATCTACTATCGTATCACCCTCGTTCGTACGCCAAAAACATGCGTAATTTTCCGGCGAATAACGCATGATGGTATTATCCTTTTACGTTTCCCCATGTCAAGTCATTAATAAACCCGAATTTGTAGCATCGTATACTTGACTCTCTTCACGAATTTCTCTGTCAATTAGGATACATTTAAGGTCGCGGTATTTTGCGTTTCTAAGAGCGATTACTTTAATTAACGAAATAGCCTATTTTATAAATGTAATCAAAGTTTAAAACCTTCGGCTTTGTTGAAATCATTTGATGCTTTGTAATGTAAGAAGTTACTACATGGTTGCTATTTCATGTTGAACGACAAATATGTTAGATTTAAACATTTACGGAATTTATTTTTTCTTATAATTGCTTACATGAAATAGGTGTATTTGCGCTCCCGGAACGAAAATTAATTATTTTATTAGTAAGATGGATGTTACATTCATCACTCATCACAAAATGCATTTTAATTTATGATAGCATAATGGTAAATGTAAAGTGTCTGCATATTCAATCTTCTTAATATATAGTATAAAATCGTACCACAAAAATCAATTATAATTTATTTATTTTATATTTATAGTCTTTAATATTTGATAGTATACTTACAAAATTAAATAAAGTAAAATAAAAAAGCACTTTTTCACATTTTTTTGATATCAAATTATACTTTTTATACGATTTTTCTATCAATTAAAAGTATTTAGAAATATAATTTATTTATAATTTTTATTGTTTTTTTAATTTTAAATCAAATCATATATAGAGGAGCTAGAGGCTTTATGCAGCAGGTTTGAACGATATTAAAGTATTTTTTTGTCTCGATTAGATATGTAAATCCTTTTGCATGATATTTTCCTGCAATATACAGGATTAATATGTAATATAAAATTGTACCATCATGAAATTTCGTTTCGCGTCATTAATATCGACTAGTTTTAAATTCAATTATAAATTTTTGAGATTGCTAAATTGTTTAAATAGTTGAAAAAAATCTTGAGGCTATTTGTAGCATTAGAATGGGTGGAATGTATAGTTTGTAAGATGTTTACACACAAATTGTGTTGCAGGAGACACTACATATCTTTAATTTGTAGTGATTGTACTTTACTTTGATTAATGATTAGATTTTTTTATGGCTGGAGACGTCATATTTTTTATGTGTATTAATTATAATTTACGTTGATTTACGAAAAGAATAATTATCAGAGTTATTATTATCAATTTTTTCTCGTGACTACTTGCCCCAGTAGACGTTACAACTAGCCCCAAATACGGGGTAAGTTAATTGTGAAATAATGAACAACAGTTATGGAATTACTCTGATTAGATACTGTACAGAATAGTTGTAGCATCTATTCATCATTATTTCATAGAAATACGAGGTCTGTTCAAAAAGTACCCGGAATTTTCGTTTTTTCAAAAAAATATTTATTTATTCGTCTACATTAATGTGGTCCCCTTCAAAGTAGTCCCCCCCAGATATAATACACTTATGCCAGCGTTTTTTCCAATTTTCGAAGCACCCTTGATATTCACTCTTTGATATGTCCTTGAGCACTCTCAGCGATTTTCTTCAATCGAGGAAAACCGCCGTCCTTTCATGGGTCTCTTCAACTTTGGGAATAGGAAAAAGTCACACGGAGCCATATCTGGTGAATTTTTGCACTTTGCAACACTTTATTTCATTTTTTACGCAAAATTTAATACAAATTCTTTGACTTTTCAATTCTTCCATTGTAAAAATCGCCGAGCTCAGAAAAACACGTCGAACCTTAGCGACTACCACAGACAAAGTAAACAGTGAATATAGCTGAAAATTTCATCATACTTTAGGGGCATGTATACCAACACAATAAAAAATTATAAATTTTGACAATCAGACACTCCAGACCCGCGAAATTTAATTATTAGTAATTCCGGGTACTTTTTGAACACACCTCGTATATCAGTAGATCTCTAGAACTGTTAATTAAATTAAAAAAAAAACTGTTACAACAAGCCCCTAGCTTCCTGTGTACAGTAAACTATTCAGGTGAATGAATAAATTAATTAAATGTATATCAATGGAGGCGTCCATTAATCACGTGATCGATTTCGGAGGATTTTTGGACCCCTCCCTTACCTTTGGTGATACGCGGTAATATTTAAAATTAACCTACCTTCCCCACCAGACATCACGTTTATTTTTAGTATCTAGAAAAAATGGGACATTTTTTTTTAATTTTGTTTTTTAATTCACGGAAAAAATAAATACACGTGTTATCGTACTAGAACTTCCACTCCTCCATAGAAGTGATATTTCGTGATTTTTTTTATCCTACCCACCTCCCCTTTAAAGCCTCACGTGATAAATGGACGCTCCTTATGCAGAAACGACATTACACGTACTGTTCTTGTATTCTAAAAAAAAAGATTGACAATATTTGATTCACGGGTACAGCCTGCTGCGTCGAAGACATATACGGTCTGCAGTGGCGGTCGCGCGCTTCGACAATAGTTTACTCGAAACGGCAACACAGGCGCGCGAGCGTTCCAGGGACGGCAAAGAACTTATACAGTGTCCTACGATTAGTTGCGATGGCATGGGTCATGTTTCAGGAAACTATGCGACCCATCGAAGGCAAGAAACGCGTCTTTCGGAAAAATTGTTGTAAAAAAATACATTAAAAAACTACTAATCCGACAAGTTTCTAAAGACCGAACTATATAAAATTTGTTTTCAACTAATTACTGTAACATTTCACAATATTGTGTGATTATAAATACTTTAAATATTAGTAACAGATTTTGGTAGTTTCGTGTCGACGGAAAATGTGGAAAAATTTGCTGTGGAATAATCTTCTTTAATGCCTCAGGTGTCAATTTTCCGATAAATAGAAATGTTATTGCAACGCTGTTACGTTTCTATGTTCGTATGAATTGGTAGTAAAAACTGTCAAAAAGCTATGGATTTGCTGTGCAGTCAGGCGTTTTACAAATAAGTCTTAAAAACGCGCAAACGTCAAACAAACGATTTTATCAGAAGTGCGTCTTTGATAACACAACCGTGAATTTAGGTTTTATGCATAAAACGCTTGACTGCACACCGAATACATAGCTTTTTCACAGTTTTTACTAATACAGCTTTACATAATATAGCATTGGCATAATATTTCTATTGTATAGAGTCCTAAAAAACTGAGTTTTGATATATGAAGAATAAAAAATGAGAATTAAATAATATACCGCAAATTTGTCCATAGTGTCGGAATTGGTAAATTGATCTACAATCGGTCAATTTTGTCGATGTTACTATTGAAATTAAAAAATGATACTGTATTCTTTCCGAACTCGCACTTAAAACCTTCGTCTGTCACTTCTGTCTTTGTAGTTGATAGTTCCTCTATGATACTCAATCATAAACCTCAAATTTTTGTTAAAGAACTTGCATGAAATTTGTTTGTAAGTAGTTACTTTATGTATCTATTTTATGTCAACCTATCCTTGAATCGTGTTGATATACAGAATCCATTGGGAATTTTAAATTACCGACACCTTATGTGACCGTTACTCAAATTTAACGAAATTGTGCGAATATCATAGAAATTCGACCCATGTCATGCGCAACTTATTAACGAAAACTTCTTACAGATACGAATTGGCTATAATAAAATATTTTAAATTTATATTGACGATTTATCTACTAATGTATTTATTCATAGGTAACTATGGTGAGGTATTTAATCTTCTGCAGTGACGCTGAGCTTCATCTGAAATCGCATCAAACAAACAAAATTATTTTGATCTTTACTTAACTGAAATTATCACATTTAGATGAGAATGATGCGATTTCTGTAATATTTGTGCGTTATTAATAGTTGAGTTGAGACTTAAATTTCATTGTTATTTGTCAGAAACAGTTGATAACCAAAAATAATTTGGCTTAGAATATTCTATTTTTCGTCCAGCTTATCCGGATGTCCGCGCGCTGACCGGACGCAAATTCAGGCCCACAGTCAGGAATTAAAATGTCCAACCCCTGGCTGCGATGGTAGTGGCCATGTTACAGGAAATTATTCGTCTCACCGTTCGCTTTCCGGATGTCCGAGGGCCAACAAGCCAAAGAGCAAACCGAGAGATGGCCAAGACTCTGAACCTCTCAGGTAAAATTATTATCCATTATAAATTTTATTTTATATTCATAAAGTATTTATCAATATATCCGAGTGAATCCGAGTGGAGTTGTCTCACCGGATTTGTCATATCCGACTTCCCTAAACTGGTACTAAATCTGTTACTGCGGTTTTGCTTTGGGAAGAAAGCTGTCACTTTCTCGTCTCAAAGGCAGTTTTATGATCTTTTAGGTATACGGTTTTTTTTTCCAGAAAATACAAAAATATTACTTCAAAGATACAGAACAATGAAATTGTGTTCAAGTGTGAATAGTTCCAATGTATAATTTATTGAATAGTAAGGAGTCATATTTCTAACTACAACAATGTTTGGCTGTGAATGACGGCAATCAGGAATATACATACCGAAAAATACACGAAACAAAATACATTTAATCTGGATTTTCCATAGCCTGAAATAACAATGCTTTTAGGTGCATAATATATCAGTGACGTCAATAGTATTTAAGCAGCAAAAATATATAGCATTAAATTTTTACTTTTACACAATTATATAAGTGTGTAGAAGTAATAATATGCTAATCGAACTACCCGATATAATATTAATTCTTGAATGAAAATAGCAGAAGAAAAAATTAGAAAGCAGAAGTATTATTATTTGGTGACAATATTTTATGATAAATGTTTTGCTTTTATTACAAAGTTTACTACATTATTTTTATATAAAATTAATCCAAAAAATTGGTCAACACTGTTAAAATTACGAGTCATTGAGTCAAACATGTGGTCGACCGAAAATTTTTACAACTTGTCATTTATTTGTGAATTTTTTAGAAACATTATTTTATTGATATTTTTTAATTTTATTTTATTCATGAATTTTCATTTCGAAAAATTAAATGGAATTTGACAAATCCTTAGATGCATAAACAACGCACTATAGAACACATTTGTGTCGAGTATTTCGGTTTCAAAGTTGTCGGAGTCGTGGAGTAGTTAAGCGGATATAACTCCTCCCTGAAGCGGAGTCAAATCCGAGTCGACCCGGTTTCGGATACGATAAGCCCATCTCTAATATATATATATATATATATATATATATATATATATATATATATATATATATATGAGTAAGTTCTTCAAGGGCATACATCAAATAAAAGGCAAAGATTTAGAAGATTTTTCCAAACGTTTCGACATAGTATTTTATGTCATCATCAGTGGATCTACAGAATGAATATTGAAAAATTAATATAAACTAGGAAAAAATGACAGAAATTGGAAAAAGCACTATAGATATAAGTAATATAATTATAACAATAACAATTATACTTAACAGATAGATAAACAAGAGAAATGAAAAGTGAAAAGAAATATATACAAACATACAAAAGCGTAATATATATACATAAATATACACACAAACAAACATGTATATATGATATACATGTAAAAACACGTACACATATGCATATATACATACGAATAATACGTATATATAAACATATACATACGGACATGTACATATGTATATATACACATATATACATACATACACATACACATATACACATATACATACATACATATATATATATATACATATATATATATACATATACATATATATATATATATATATATATATATATATATACATACACATGCAATACAGACACATACACATATATAGACAATGAAGGTAACTTACATAAATATGGTCTTACATCAGTAGCTAGCGCAAGGAACATAATTTTGCACTATCATATATACATAAACTTGTTTTTTTTATATTATTTTGTTGAACAGAGTATAGCAAAATATTTGTGAAATATATAATATATTTTGCACAGAGAACGTAGTTTATGTGACAGAGCCCGAGGCTGAAGTAACGTGTGTTTAAAAATTATTTGAAGAGACCGTTTGAGGGAATAGTTGGCGGGTTTTTTACAATCAGTGTTTCGAAGTATGGGTGAGAGGCTAAGAATCAGAGTTCGGGATCGGACCGCGTAAGGGTAAGTTTACAGGTTCGGAATTACGTAGGTTAAGAGGAAACAAATTTGGAAATATTATTAAGTATCACCTGATAATTTTCACAGAGTAAGGAGGCATCATGGCGTTTATTAATACAAAATTTGGAGGTGCTGATCAGACAAGATTCAGCAAATCTTCTCTGAATAATGTTCCGTTCGTGATAAAGTATACTAGCGTTATAAAAGTCAAAAGAATGTTTAAAATTTTTTATATGTTCTGTTATCATGGTTTGATTTTGTCGTGGGTTTTTAGAGTTATTATCATGTTGTTTTAGTCGTTTTATTAAATTTTGTCCAGTTTCACCTATGTAAATGGAATCACAATCATTGCATTTTAATTTATAAACAATATTTGATGTGCGTTCCAAACTAGTGGGTGATTTGAGGTTGGAAAAAAGGGAGCTAAGGGTTAAGTCTATGTTACAAATTAATCTTAAGTCAACCTTGTGGAACAGTTTTTTTCCAAATGGGAAAGAGTTCTTTAATAAACGGGAGACAAACATTACCAATAAAGTTATTGTCTTTGGAGATTTTGGTGGAAGAAGAAGAGATATTATTGTTATTATTGAGAAATTTGAGTCTATTGTACGTGACAGAGTTTCATATATACATATTTGTTTGTGTGTATATTTATGTATATATATATTACGCTTTTGTATGTTTGTATATATTTCTTTTTACTTTTCATTTCTCTTGTTTATCTATCTGTTAAGTATAATTGTTATTGTTATAATTATATTACTTATATCTATAGTTCTTTTTCCAATTTCTGTCATTTTTTCCTAGTTTATATTAATTTTTCAATATTCATTATGTAGATCCACTGATGATGACATAAAATACTATGTCGAAACGTTTGGAAAAATTAAAGATTAACTTCTAAATCTTTGCCTTTTATTTGATGTATGCCCTTGAAGAACTTACTCATATTTCTCAACATCAAAATTAACTACTTTAACATATATATATATATATATATATATATATATATATATATATATATATATATTAATTGTTTAATATGAACAAAACAGCACTCAGATTTGTTTAACACAACTTTATTTTATGATTACAGACGTTTCGAGACCATGGTGTGTCTCATCTTCAGTGTAATTTCAAAAACAGTTACTTATATACTACACATTCTTTAATAATTTATTTAAATTTTAAATTACACTGAAGATGAGACACCATGGTCTCGAAACGTCTGTAATCATAAAATAAAGTTGTGTTAAACAAATCTGAGTGCTGTTTTGTTCATATTAAACAATTAATATTCATTCCACTCATATCATAAAATTCTATATATATATATATATATATATATATATATATATATATATATATATATATATAAATGAAAAACTGAATATAAAAATGATATAATTTTGTATAATTTTATAGAAGATTTACTTTATTTTCATTCAATTTATTTAATTAAATCAAACTATTTTTTAATTAGTTTGTTTTGATTATACAGCTTGTAATTACTACAATAATTTCAATGTGTTGTTTGTCTATTCTGTTCAGATGTCCCATACCAGGATGCGATGGTTCAGGACACGCCACTGGAAAGTTTCTGTCTCACAGAAGGTAAGATTGTATCTCGAATTACCTAAAATATATATTCACATAGTCGATGTATTTGTTATATAAAAATTATATAGTTTTTATTGATGTTTCTGTGCAATGTAGAAAATTGCTAAATACTATTTTACCAGAGTAAAAAAATTGTTAAGTTATTCCTGTTAGGAGACATAAAACAATGTATGAAAATTTTAAATCAATTCACTCAATTCCACTTTAATATTTCAATTTGCATTTAATATAAATCTTATGTGGTTTATTATAATTTATTTTAGTGCTTCTGGCTGTCCTATCGCAAATCGCAACAAAATTCGCGTACTAGAGTCTGGGGGCAGCGTAGAGCAACATAAAGCGGCAGTTGCAGCAGCAGCAAGTGCCAATGCGGCATTAAAATTTGAAGGCGTTAATTGTCCAACCCCTGGTTGTGATGGAACGGGCCATCTAAATGGGTCCTTTCTGACTCATAGGTCCTTATCCGGATGCCCTTTAGCTGCATCCCAACCTCCAGCCAAGAAACTGAAATATGACGACGCACAGTCCTTGTATGGCAAAGGATACGGTAAATAACATTTTTAATTTATTATTTATATTAATATTTATGATATTATTTTGAGTTCTATCATAAAACTAATATTCTCAAACATGAAATATCAAAGACACATAATTTTTGACAACGATCGATGTTTTTTATCAATTTACTGAGCTACATTATACATTGATTGAATTACTCTAAATTTGTTATATTTTGTTATATTTGTTGTATGTACTTATTTCTTTTTTAAATGTTTCACTTTTTTCTGGCAAATGTCAACATGTTTTTTGTCATTTATAATTAGTAAATAGATTTCTGATACATACAACATACTTTTTTTTATTCGAATCTATTTTCTATATTGTTACAAATTATGTAACATGATATTGTTACATTATTTCATTGAATGCTTTTATTTAGATTTTTGACCAAGTTAATATAATTTTAATTGAGAATTATGAATTTATTATTATAATATTGTACTTTCTTAAATTTTATATTTTTATGTATTCCACTGCCTAAAAAGATTTTCTTATGCGTTGCGTTTTGATAAATCATATTATAATCACAAAGAATTTTTCGAATATATTGTTGCTTTTAGAAAATCTTAATTTCATAAAAGAACATGATAATTTTGTTTTATCTAATAAAAAATTTTGGTATAAAAAACGTAATTATATATGTATTTCTACTGAAAAGTAGCTAAATAAAATTATACATAAAATTCTTTTACGATACAAAGTAATAAGATATACAATTTTTCTCAGGAAAATTCTCAGAAGAAAGTATGCTTGAAGATTTAGAAAACCACCAATCAACTGTGCATGTATCTTTGAAAATAATTGTAAATCAGAAGAAATGTTAATTTCAATAAACTGAGAAAAATATTTTTGTTTTCTGTTTTCACAAGACACACTCACACAAACATATATGACCAAAATGAATTTTATAATTTTAACTTCCCGAAAATGAAAATTTTTATATATCTTTACGTTTCAGAGGTTTCTAAACATTATAGCTTACCTTAGAAAATATGGATGTATGTGTGTGTGTATGTGCGTGTGTGTGTGTGCGGATACAAATTTTCGTCGACGATTTCGGGAACACGGTTTAACCGAATTCAATTATTCAAAAAAACATTCGGTTCGAATTGATAAGAAGACGTGCTGATTAGTATTTAGCAAAAGCAGGTGTACCCGTTTTGGAGATACGGGGCAAAAAGTGCCTAAAACGGTAACTCAGTTACTAAGAGAGCGGAGCGTCCGAATTGAATAATTCAAAAAACATTTTACTTGTGTTGAGAAGATGAATAACTGATCAAAATTTTGGGCAGACAGGTCTAGCGGTATCGGAGATCTAGTAATAAAAGTAAAAAAAATGCAATTTGGCGGTCAAAAATGATCATTAGACATAGACACATCAAATTATCAGATATTTTATGAAGATCAAGAATTTAAAATTTTTCCAAAAACCTATTTTTTTTCAAAGTTAAAAAAAAAATTAATCTTCTTTTAAAATAAATAATTTTTGGTACGGGGAGTTCGAGTAATTTGCCTTAAGGCACGACTAGTTAAAATTGACCTGTAAATTATTTCTCTTACAGAAATGGGTATGGGCAGCATGGGTGTTATAGGCACTGGTCCGGGAGGTGAAGATTTGATGACACTTGAAGCTGAAATTACAGAATTGCAGCGCGAGAATGCTCGCGTCGAGAGCCAAATGATGCGACTCAAATCGGACATTAACGCCATGGAATCGCATTTGAATCACGGCGAAAGGGTAAGAATTAATATATTATTTTGTTATTTTTATAGATTATTAAGTCTTACCTAGTTTTATGATATTAATTTCAGTTTTTAAGAAAAGTTGAAGCAAACGGTTAGATTAGGACTGTGTTGATCAAAATTTATTTAATTATTCGCATTGCACTGCGCCAACGTTATCTAACATAATATTCACTTTGATAAGCGCGGTAAAAGGCCTTGGTCGTCTAGCGTTTTATAATTTTCAGCGTAGGTATAATTAGTATTTATATTTTAATGTACTTTCTGTACCTTTTTTTTTCTTATGGGGTAGGGTGGGGCACAAAGGTCCTATTTGTCTTTAATTATACTAATTTTTAATTAATCTAATTAATCTATATCACAACACATAACACGCATCGACAAACAACTATTGTACTATGTTCAGTTTTGAGTTATTTTCTAATTATAGAAATGTGTTTTTTTACTAGTTTTCTAAATTTTTTTATCTGTTCCTTTTTTTCCATAAGCGGAATAATATGGGACAGTCAGGGGGCAAACAGAACTAAAGTTTAATTTTTAAATGTAAAGAGACTTTACAAAATAATAGCTATAATATTCAACCAGTGCAAAATATAAATTTTATGGGCACATTTTTTACGAATATAACACTGTGTATAACCTTGATCTGGTATTTTGTCAGAAATATTTATCAGCAGAGATGGAATAACTATTAATTTAATTTATGTGTTGTGAAAATTTTTTCAATTGAATTTGTATTTTTATTATTAATTTATGTGTTATTGTTTACGTCTTTGCCAGGGTAATGGTTCAGTTAGTCCTTTTTACCCCACCCACATGTGAGTTGTAGAGGTTATAAAAAACCATGTATTGAATCTAACTTAAACTTAACAATTCACTTTATAAAACAATTAAATACAGTATACTTAAAAAAATATATTGGTCTCGTAAATTAAACAACAGCGCTCACGACCAAAAAAACTAATAACGATTAAAAATACTTTTGTTACATATTTATCAAACCGTTTATTTTCTGAGAGCAACGTTGCTTGATTTAAGACGATTGCTGATAACACATTCTTTTTCCTCTACTTTCAAATATTGTTTTTAAAAAATTCCTTAATTTACTTGTTTTTGAGATATTGGTGGTGGACCTTTTTAGCCGCGGACCTTTAAGCCCCACTTTCCCCTATTTTGTCGAAGCATCAGATATTATTTGAATTTGATTTGATTTGATCAACTTTTCGACATTTCTATAATACAATTTTTGTGCAGGAAAACCAAAACATATCGCAGAGAAATAACAACTTGAATGAATACTACGAAAGCCTGCGCAACAACGTTATAACTTTGCTCGAACATGTTCGCATTCCGAATGGATCGACGGCTCCCGAAAAAATGAATCATGAAAATTTTGACAGCTATTTGAGCAAACTTCAAACTTTGTGTACGCCTGATGGTTATTGCACGGAAGAAAACAGACCTATATACGAAACAGTTAAATCGGCGCTGCAAGATTTCACGGTTTTACCCACACCTATATGAAACTCTAGCACTTAAGATATGTAACAAGTGTAAATAATCAAAATTAACGTTTTCACGAAAATAAATACTAGGTGTAAATACGGAAAAATAGAATAATTTAAATGAAATACTGGACTGATTTCATTATTATTATAAGATTAATTTCACTGATACAATTGTTTTTCTAATATATCATTTAAATCATGTTTGCCTCTAATGCGTTTTGGTAGTAAATTAATTGTTGTTTTCATATTTTGATTTATGACTCGTTATTGGCAGTTATTTGTATGTATTCATACTGATTGAAACAGTATATTAAATAAATTTTTATAGAGCTTCTGTACATAAATAATAAAAAAAATTACGATATTGTTTCCTATCATTCAATAATTACAAATGTGTTTCCCTATGCACTTTTTAGTCTTGATGTTAATTGTCTCAATGAATGTTTTTGAAGTTAAAGTTTCATTATACAAAAAAATATTCTAGAATAATTTAAATTATTTTCAATTTACACTATTTAGTATAAATTTGCAATATATCTGTGATTAGTTGTTTGAAATATATTTATACTTAATAGTCACTGAATATACAAGTCCTGCTTATTTATACTATAAAACAAGGTTTATAAAACTTTTCTTTATAATGTTGATACTGGAGATCTATTAAACTATTGTAAATATAGCGTTATTTTATGGAATGTCATATTATAGCTGTATATAGAATGGATATAGGAGGAATATATGTAATATTAATACTATTAAATATATCATTTAATCAGAACGTAGATAAAATTGTTAGCTGTGATTATGTACTTACATGGTTAGTATTATGTATATGTCCATATATACATACATACATATATATACCTATATATACATATATATATATATATATATATATATATATATATGCATACAAATTTGTGACATTCGTGTGAGTGTATGTTTATATGTGCGAATGATGTTTCCTCATCGTCTATGAAATAATGTGATTATGTTTCAATATTAATACATTTTGTTATGAGATATTTTTCAATTTTATATAAAGTGTTAATTATTATTATTCACATGATATGAAACAAAACCTTTGAAATATTTCAAACCGAAAAATCCCAATATAAAAAGTAATTGTCGTTCAATAAAAATACTTAATCTAACTTTAATATCTTATGAATTGATATTAAATTCAAACAATTTGGAAATTTTGCGCTCTAACAAGCTATGTGTATATGTATGAAATTCCCGCATTCCTTACAATTGAAAAGATTGCAAATAACTAATTTGAAGATCACGATAACAGTTAGTCATGTATTTAATAATAATATGAAAAGCTCAATCATTGGAATTCATATTTATCTATTATTAAAGGTAGTCTTGTAAAAATTAGTTAATAGTTATAATAAAAACGTATGTTATAATTGTTAATACTTGTGAATAAATAAATAAAATATAAAATAAAATGCTTGGTTTTCCGTAACTAATTTCACGAAAACAGAAGTAACCATCTACGAATGCACATGCGATTTATCCATGTACACGGCTTCAAATGCTGCCTCAAATCCAGGTAAGAACCACTTTGGTATATATGAAAAATGTATGAACAATAATCTGTTTTATCAATGATTGTTTTCATGTAACTGGATTTAAAAAGGTGGATCTTGAAGCCATAGGCATTTTATCTGCCATCAATATTTCAAGCACTATCTCCATCGATACCATTTGAAAGAAGTCGCTGATTCCCGAGAACGGGAACAAGGTGATTACATGTTCTGTTTCACTACAAAAGATTTGGAAAGAAAGATTAAAGAGTAGCATTGATGGTCCTTAGACTAGTTTTTCTCTAATAAAATAATATTCAAGTATCACAAATTAATATTTATATTCTTATTGAGACAGAATCAACTGGAGTATACTTACGGGAATTTTAAAATCTATTGGTATCCATTAGAGTGGCCGCAGGCTGATCCAGAATCTGTATATGGGACATGAAGTAAAAGTTCGAGTAAACCAAGGAGATACAAACAGCGTTGAAATAGGTAAAAGAGTGTGGCAAGGATGCTGCATGTCACCGATCCTATTCAATCTTTACGAAGAATGGCTTGTCAGCGAGGCACTTGAAAGCACAGGAGATATTTCGATCGGAGGAAGTAGAATCGAAAACCAAAACCGAGCTGCAAAACATGATGCGCAGAATCGTAGAAGTGGGCAACGATGTAGTCGACAAATCGAGGATGATGAGAATATAAAAATGAGATAATCCCCCGAGGATAACGGTAGGAAATCGAGAATTGAAAGATGTGAATCATTTCGGATACTTGGGAAGCATCCTGACCAGACACCAGATATTGCACCAGCCTTTACATCGTGGCAAGGATCGCAAGCGCCAAGGCGGCATTTACAAAGAAGAGAACGCTACTGACGAACAAACTGAGTTACAACTTGCGGAAGAAACTAATAAAGTACTATGTTTGGAGCTAGCTCTGTACGGACCAGAAACGTGAACTCTAAGAAAGACCGACAAAAACTAACTGGTGAGTTTTGAAATGTGGTGCTGGAGGCGAATGGAGAAAAGAAGCGGACAGGCAAGATAAGAAATTAAGATGTTCTGAAATAAATGAGCAAAATGAATACTACTGAGCACGATCCTGAAAAGAACCTAGATAGGACCGGCGCTGTAAAACAGTACCTCTTACACAACGTAGTCGAAGGTAAAATAGAATGACTAAAATGAATGGTAAAAAGAAAAATGCAGATGGTTGCTGACTTATGTGAGAAGAGAAATTACAACAAACTGAAAGCCGAAACACAGGACCAGTAAACACGAAAGCAAAAGTTTGGAAAATAAAATAGGTAATAGTGGTCGTGGGAATGATCGACAAGGAAGGGAAAGGAAATCATTGATTTGTCGTGGTTCTCACACCATTGACCTGCCTTTGGGCGGACTACTATTTATTTATATTATTATTGAGACAACTGAAATGTACAGTATAAGTAATGACACATTGAAGTCGACCAGAAATGTTTTACCTCATTCCGCTGTCTATTTTGAGCAGATTCACAGACATTTATAAGGTGAGTCTAACTGATTAACCTTCATAAAACGTGCAAGTTGCAGTTACAAGTTTCTTAGTGAACAAAGTCAAACTCAATATATTAGGGTGGTCCTTAATATGGACATTTTCGAATGTTCTTGCTCCCAAGGGCTCAAATGGTTCCAAATCGATAAAAAACAATTCTTTGAAAGTTTTAGCTCTTAATATCGTCTTTTAGATAGAGCGCAATTCAATCAAGATTTTGTTTGGAAATAGCATGAAACAATTTTCAAAAATTTTACAGTGCGTCGAATTTTCAATAAAAAATGACACGAATTTTCACTTTCGTTTCATTTGTCGCTAAGTTATACCAGAAAAAATTTTTTTTTCAATCTTCAAATTTTTCCATACTAAGTGCTATGGAAATGCTATTTCCATACGAAGTTTGATTGAATTGTGCACTATCTAAATGTTAATATTAAGAGCTAAAACTTTCAGAGAATTGTTTTTTATTAATTTGGAACCATTTAAGCCCTTAAAAGCAAGGAAATTCAAAAATGTCCATATTAAAAACCACTCTAATATATCTTCTATATATATAAAAATAAGTCGGGTCTTCCTTCCTGACGAAATAACTCCAGAACGCACGAACCGATTTCGACAATTTTGCATTCGTTGGAAAGGTCTCGGGCTCCGCAAGGTTTATAGCTAAGAAAATTAGTTGTGCATGGCATCGTGCCTTAATGCAAGCTGCTGGAACTTCACGCACCGTAATTAAAAATACGAGTAATAAAAATAATCAATAACTGTTTTAAATAATTTCAAATAGATTATCTTCTATTATTACCTTAAGTCGGGTTTTCCTTCCTGACGAAATAACTCCAGAACGCACGAACCGATTTCGACAATTTTGCATTCGTTGGAAAGGTCTCGGGCTCCGCAAGGTCTATAGCTAAGAAAATTAGTTGTGCATGGCATCGTGCCTTAATGCAAGCTGCTGGAACTTCACGCACCGTAATTAAAAATTCGAGTAATAAAAATAATCAATAACTGTTCTAAATAATTTCAAATAGATTATCTTCTATATATAAAAATAAGTCGGGTTTTCCTTCCTGACTAAATAGCTCCAGAACGCACGAACCGATTTCGACAATTTTGCATTCGTTGCAAAGGTCTCGGGCTCCGCAAGGTTTATAGCTAAGAAAATTAGTTGTGCATGGCATCGTGCCTTAATGCAAGCTACTGGAACTTCACGCACCGTAATTAAAAATTCGAGTAATAAAAATAATCAATAACTGTTTTAAATAATTTCAAATAGATTATCTTCTATATACATAAAAATAAGTCGGGTTTTCCTTACTTATCAATAACTGTTTTAAATAATTTCAAATAGATTATCTTCTATATACATAAAAATAAGTCGGGTTTTCCTTCCTGACGAAATAACTCCAGAACGCACAAACCGATTTCGACAATTTTGCATTCGTTGGAAAGGTCTCGCAAAGCTCAGCAAGGTTTATAGCTAAGAAAATTAGTGGTGCATGGCATCGTGTCCTAATGCAAATTGCTGGAACTTCATGCACCGTAATTAAAAATTCGAGTAATAAAAATAATCAACAATTGTTTTAAATAATTTCAAATAGATTATCTACATATATCTACATATATATATAAAAATAAGTTGGGTTTTCCTTCCTGGCGATATAAATCCAGAACGCAAGAACCGATTTCGACAATTTTGCATTCGTTGGAAAAGTCTCGAGCTCCGCAAGGTTTATAGCTAAGAAAATAAGTGTGCATGGCATCGTGCCTTAATGCGAGATTGCAATTTCCAGTTCGCCTTACGTTCGCAATGACAACTAACAAGCCGCAAGGCCAATCGCTTAGTGTTTGCGGGATAAATTTCAAACAGATTATTTAGAAAATCATTATCTATCACATGGGCAGTTATACGTTGCCTGTTCACGAGTTGGAAAACCATCCGCTTTGT